CTGTGTGTATGTTTTTGACCGAGCAGATTAATATTTCTAGAAGACCTTTAAGGAATCTATGAAAGAACCAGAATGCAGGATTGTTTTCATCATTTCGTCGTACATCATCATACATGTGCCAGTCCTACATGTTTGTCCATTCCAGCTGTGTGTCGCCTTCCTTATGTGGAAAAGATGCAGCTGTGCCTCCTCTGTCCTCGAGGTGCATTTTAGAAATTTAGATGCGATGATGCACCGAGACTGATTTCTGGGTCGCAGGCCGGAGGACCGAGGAGACAGGAATCAGTGAAATGAGATGAGCCTAATGAGTGAGTGTGAATAATGGATGGTCTCTGGTGGCGGAGGGGGCGGAGTCTAACCTGTAGCCAGATGACGTTAGCAGAGCCCCACTGGGTGACCACGCTCTCCCCCAGGGAGCCGTAAACCCGCCCGAAGCCGGGGTAGAGCACCCTGCCCCCGGGCCCCGCCACCGCCGCCTCCGCCTGCACGGTAGCGCCGGCGTGGATCACGGCGATGTTGAAGTTCATCATGGCCCCGGCGTCGCGCTCCCGCGGGCTCGGCCGGAGCAGGAGGTGGGGGGACGCTTCCACCAGACCTGCCCACTCTGCCAGGACCAACAGGAGAGAGAGAGTGGGTATGGCGACCATGGCAACCTGCCGAGGGGGGGAGGCAGATATATATCGCACTAAGAGAGGGCGCCTGAAAGGAAGAGAGACAGCAGGTAGAAGAAGAAGAAGAAGGTGAAGAAGAAGAAGCAAGAGATTAAGTTAGTGTGTTTTTTTTTTTTTCTGTTACGTCCAGCACAGAGGACATCAAATCAAATCAGAGAGAATAAGGAAGCAGAACACAGGGAGAGGGGAGGCGCAGACAGAAACTGATCAGAGATTGCATACAGGCAAGACTGCATAACAAATTCTGAATCCAATCATGCGGTAATAAAAGTTAGCTTTGGCTGGAGAAAATACTGGACGAGGAATGCAGAGGGGAACGGGTGGTGGTGGTGGTGGTGGTGGTGGTGGAGGAGGGGGGAGACAATGGAGGGATGGGAAAGAAAGCAAGACAGAGAGAGAAGATGAAATGGTGCTATTTAGGCTGCAGGCTGAGGAGGAACAATATGAGGAAAAATAGAAACTGGCCGTTATGGAGGGAAGGAGGGAGCGCGAGTTAATAGCAGACGGAGACAAAGATGGGGGCGAAGGTGGTTACTGTGCTGCATGAGTGATAACAACAATTAAGATCACTGTAAACACACACACACACACACACACACACACACACACAGACGCTCGCTGCAAAGATAAATCCACGGCTGCACTGCGCCCGCAGAGCAGCTTAATGATAGAGAGATATGAGGGTTAATGCACAAACATGCATTCCCACAAACAGCCACACACAACGATAATGACTACCTGGGAGATAGCAGGGTTAATATGTGAGCGCACACACACACACACACACACACACACACACACGCCGCATCATTTTCAATTTACTTCTTGCCGCCAACTGCCCTCCCTCCCTTTTCTCCATCTCCTCTCACTTTCTCGCCCGCTCGCCGTCTCCGTCTTTTCATATTCCCCCCCATCTCTTCTCCCAATTTTCACGGCTTCAGGTACCAAACACAATCGCATTGATTAACGGCGGCCCGCTGACATAATATTCCCTCTAAAGTCACTCTGGCTCGCCGCGCCTCTGTTTCTTCCTCTCCACGTCGCCCCGCTCCGACTCGCCTCCCTTTGTCACAGTCTGCCGATTCTTTGACCCTGATCAGTCTTTTTGGATGGAAAAGAGAGAGAGAGAGAGAAAAAACAGGCGGCGGAGCGAGAGAGGAGGCTGCAGGAATGAGAGCCGGGCCGAGCTGAACAGAACTGTAAATACAGGAAGGTAAAACATGTCGGTGTGGGTATCGATCAGTGGGATGTGCATACGTGTTCGGCCTAAACAAATAAAGTGGCAGAGCTCCGGCGTCTGAGTGACGGCTTGTTGGTGTTTGTGTGCATCATGTGCAACAAGAAAGAAGCAGGAGATGGAGGTGTGGGGCGATGGGGAGAGACAGACTTGTTAGTAGGGGAGCGGGAAAAGGAGAATGCAATAATGAAGGAGGTGGAGGGGGGGAGCAGGGCTTTGTTGTTTTGGGAGAGGATGGAGAGGACAGACAGACAGACCAACGCGCTGCATCCTATCATTTGCTGGAGATGTTTTCTTTCACCGCCGCCGCCGCCGAGCTCTGAGCCATTAACGGTCGGGCCCGGCGCCGCCGTTCAGGTGTTTGCTCGGCGCAGCAGTAAATAAGGCTGCTCTAAATATATCTTACTATATAGTTCATTACAAATCTGTGAAATCCTGCCTGGTGGGGAGCGAGGGGGCAGAGCCGCCGATTAGCGCTCCGTTTGATTCACAACCGCAAATGAATCGTTTGTTTAAAAGGAAAATCTTCGCCTTTTTGTTTAATCGTGCGGGTTTCTGCTTTTCACCGACTCCAGGAGGTAAAGAATCCGTTTCTGGGATCTTGTTTGGCGAAGATTCTTCAGCGACCACATAAATATTATAATGTGGAAAAAAACTATTAAAAATCTGAATTTCAAAACCTTTCAAACAGAAGTGCGCTCTTTGATGACGGTGGAAACTTGGTGGCGGCGTTCGTACCTTCGCTCGTCACGCTGTGTCCAAATCATTATATCAGCGCCTCCGCGAAAAACTACTCGCATTGTGCGGCGCTGATCTCTCAATTTGTCAATCACTGTAATAAGCAGCTTACTGTATCTACAGTATAATTATTTTTCCTGCTGAGCCTGTTTAGTTTGTCTTCCCAAACAAAGAAAGTGGCATTTACAGCCAGCCGCTGTTAGAGGCGAACTGAAAAAACACCTCCGGGAATATTTACCGAGAACTTAAGAGCAGAATATTCTCGGGCTGACGGCTAATCAGCGAGATGAGAGAGGAAACATTCAGCCTCCAAAAAACACCAGCCAGCACCTCACAATCCAAACACACGCCGTCGCATCTCTGCCTAAACGTCTGATTTGCTGCATAATGCGCTCGCTGCATGCGCCGCTGACGCTATGTGCAGCTCATGCAGAAACTCTCGAAGCTGCACAGCGAGGCCGAAAACTTGCATCGCCTCCGAACACAGAATGAAATTGATTCTGGGTGTTGGAGTGATGTTTCAGAGCAGCGCGCCGCCTCCTCCCCTCCCGCTCGACATGCTCGAGCTGCAGCGAGGCCTGCAGCGGCTGCAGAGGTCCTGGGGGAGGAGGAGGCTCTCCGAGCTCCGGGCCTCGTGCTGCATCGGGAGGAAGCGGTCGGCGGAGTTGCAGAAGTGCAGCGCTCAGCGTTGTGTGGAGGCTCCGCTGCTTCGTCCCGTGCTGTCATGCAGAGTAATGGACCTGCTCCCTGCCGCCTCGAGCTGCAGTGAATCAGCCCCGCGGTCGGCCCAAACGTATGCGGGCCTGATGTACGGCGTCGAGAAAAACCGAAGATGAAGGCTTCGCTCATCGCCTCTTCATTTGTGCACGTTTAAGAGAAAACTGCTATATGTGGCCTCTATAATTTTCTCCGGGCCGCGGCTGTAGTATGCCGAGAGATAAGATGAAGTGCCAGAACAGTGTGCACGTGTGCCGGTGTGTGCGCCGTGTGTCGCGAGTGTGTTGCCGGGAATGAAGAGGAGAGTGCAGCTGGAGCTCAATGCTCCTCGTGTTAATTGGCCCATACTTCAATCACAGCCACTGGAGTGTGTCCTCTCTGACGGAACAGATCCTCTCCTCCGCCGCCGCCTCCCCTCCGTCCTGCTGCACTCATTCATCCACTCATCCACTCACGCTCGCTCGGTCACTTCCATTCACCCCTTCATTCACTCACTCCGCTCTGCAGCATCTCACTTTCACCTCCTCTCCCCTGTTTCCTCGCTCCACACGTCTTTGTCCTGCACTTCCTCCTCCCCTCCCTCAGCTTCCTCCCTATCGCTCTCCTTCCCTCTCTTTGATCCCTGTCGAGCAGAAGAGCCACCAGGCAGGCGAGCGCCTCTTGTTCCCATTGTGCGTAGTGTGCAGAGCGATCGCAGCGCCGTGCAGCAGCAGCAGCAGCAGCAGCAGCAGCAGGGCGTTCAGCGCCGCGTGCTCCTGCTGCTGCTGCATGGCCGTAAACGGCGGCGGCAGTAAAGCTCGCCGCCTCCGCCGGACCTCGTATCTGCGGCTATCATGAGCCATTCAGATGACAAACAATGGAGCCATCGATCAAAGCGCGGTGACATCAGGTCCTCGCAGGGAAACACGACGCACAATATTTCCGAATTACACATGCCACAGGCTGATAACCAGATTAGAGCCGCTTGCTTCTGTCGTGACACCATTTTTTATGTGGATCAGTAAAATTTAAGGGGCTAGCTGATATTTACTGCAGGGAATAAACTGCGCTTTACAAATCGGAGGCACGTGCACGGAGAAAAACTGGAGGCGACGGTGCAACAGACAGGCCGGGCCTTCCACAGGAAAACGCTCGTCTGCAGCAGGTCGCCTCCGTTTGTCCTCCTCCTGCTTCGTAACCTTTCGCAGGAACAAAATGAAACAGTCACCTTGACATCTGGCTTTGATGTCTCCTCGCTGCTAAACGACGTCTTATTCTGACATTTTCGAGGCCCTTTAATTTCCGCGCGCTTCCGTGGAAACGCGGCCGGTCCGGAGCATCGTGCCTTTAATTCAGAATTCCTTCACGGGATTAAACTCGTCTGCCAAGAGACAGTGTCAATTAATTGGACTTCACTTCTGTACATTGAGGGGATAACTTTCATTACTTGAATGGGGGGACGCTCCGTGTTTCTCGTGCCTCTGTGGATTGATGGAAATGAGATGGAGCTGACCCCGGACCCCTCCATGGCGTCGCGCTAACAATTCTCTGACCTCATTTTTTAACAAAAAGGAAGAAGTGTCTCAGTCTTCCACCAGCGAGCCTCTCCGGCTCAGCGGCTGGAAATCACATCCACTACGGGTGATTATTACCGAAATATCTGACATCACCCGCATCCCGTCCCTCTGACTCGCAGCATTCAGCGCAGAGTGTGTAATTACCAAAGTGGAGAATGTGTTTAATTCTGCTTTATTATAACCCTGCACATGTCTAGTAATTACAGTAATGCTTCAGGATGAACTCCAGTAACCTGAGAGGGAGAATCTGATGAAAAATTAAAGCCTGTCAGTTGTTTTCTTTGTAATAAAACCTGAATTATTCACTCTGTGTGTGTGTGNACCAGGAGGACGGTTTGTTGATTACTGGTCTGTCATCGAGCTTGGCTAAAGCTATGCTAACAGCTAGCCACAGATTAATCAGAATAATGATTTAAGGACCTTCGTGGGCAATAAAAGTGATAGAACAGCGAGATATTAAGAAAATAGAGAACAACAGCAGACAGAACTGCAGGAGACAAACTCAGTGGATCCCACAGAAACAGAGGAGATGATTTAATCCTGTTCCTGGTTCACATATTCAGTTACAGCCGTCTTATTAATGAAGAAGCCCGGTTATGACTGACAGCTTCTCTGCCATCACAAGCTGATAAAACATCACATTTAATGTATATCAGTCTCCAACTATCGGTCTGTCTTCATTACAATCAATCGGCATCGATTAAGGGCCCAGAAAACCCACATTGATC